AACCAAAGCTGGCACAAGCGCTTATACCAGCTGTCCGGGCGACGTTGCCTACCTGTTTATAGGCTGCTTCCCCTCCTCTTCCGAGAAGCTGACCTGCTGCCCCTGCAGATTCGACTGGTCACAGACGGTCAGCCGGACAGAAGGCAGCATGCTGGCCAGCGTGCCAAGTCGGATAAATGTTTTAGATTATGGGACGATTTCCAAGCAACAACTCTTACCGTGTCCAAACTAAATGGGCCAGTGGTCACTGAGTGACTGTGATACTGTGATACTGTGTTACTACTGTGATACGTGCTGTTGTGAAAGTTGTTGTTGATCATAAATATATTACATTATCACTCTTCCATAACAATGTTGTCTGTCTTTTTACATTTTACGACGCTTCATCTTAATTACACACACAGTCACACAGTAACCCTAAATATACAAATAAGACCTTTCCAATAAGTTCTTATCTCCCCCTGCTTTATTATACCCCCTTGAGAACTCTTTCACAAGAAGAGATAGAACGGCTCTTGACGTTCACTTCCGGAGATGTTTTTTTGAAAATGAAAAATCGATTTATCAGGAGCATTAGTAGCATCTTGCCTTATAGTTGTTGTCTTTTTATGTTCTATCCACTTGTGTTTTGTGAATGTCATATCTTGTGATTTAACAGGACTCAATTTACGTTTTCGTGGCTGGTTCCATTTGCATTCCTGTGAAGTAGATGCATGTAAGCCCTCAATTTTCTTTTGTGATATGTCAACCAAAGCATACAGGACAGCAGCGACATGGTTGCAAGATTCTCCTTCACTGAAACAGATAAATTGTTCACTGAATGTCAAATTGAAAATGTAAAAAAAAAACCCTAATTCCATATCAAATGAGGTAAAACAATACACTGTAGGCATACGCTTTACTTGGATACGGTCCCGCACACATAAATGGAACACATCTGTATTACATATGCCGACAGCGAACGCTCAAACGTTATTTGGTTATACATTCAAAGTTGAATCAAGTCCAGAACATTCATCACAATCGTATATACACAAGTATAGTTTGTTTTCAGTAAATGGAATTCATACTTTAGATCTGCCAGATAATATGATTATCGGTAATTTATTAGATCTACTTACCCGGCAGTGCAGTTGCAACCAGCAGCATGTACCCGGCCTGTAACCTTTGACAAGGACACCCACACATCATAATCTGGTTTCTGTTTCATATTCTGAGTTGGTATGGAAGGAATCACTTTGGCATTGACATAACAATGAGAACAGTCCGGGGATATGTGGTGATATCGGACTGAATGAACGTTCTATCTTCATAGTACACTTTAGCTTTCAACTGGCGTTAGCGTTGTTTGGGTCAGTGTCTAGTGTCCGCTGCTTGCTCAAAACCAAATAATTATACAGATCTCCGGGGGCGCGTTGTTCAGCAAAAGTTTGCAAGCTTCACTGCGCTACGCTGCCTGCTTTCCCGTGCAACGGACTGCTGTGTGAGCGCTTCATTCAATATGGCGTCGTCCAATATAAACACATCACCGATACTAGCCACACTTTTGGCACACGAAGCTGCAGAAGATATTCCATGCAATGATTTTGAATTGCATGCTCAACATTAAAAACTTGTCCCTATTGGTCACAGAAGAGCAGACAAGTTTTCTCTGTTACCTTGCAGAATGACATGCCGTGACGCCATTTTGAATGTCGCTCGCCTACGCAGGAAGCACCTCTCTCAGTCGCTGCACGCCGAAGCGCTGCGATGCATGCAGAGAGGCGTTGTTCAGCCAATAGAATCGCAGCGCTGCACAGCGTATCGGCTAAACAACGCCCCCCCCGGAAGTGTCCTTGATAAAGGGAGATAACACATGGAAGGGGAGATAAGAACTTATTGGAAAGGACATGTAAAACAAGTCTAGACAAGATACGGGAAAATATTCATTCACTCTTCAATCACATTTTCTTGTGTCCTTAGCTACCCTTAGTTTTGTATCACTGAAAACAAAACATAACAACTTCGTTATACACATTCTAAGTAAAAATCAAACTTAATATATACTATTATTCAATTATTAATACACGTCTACGAAATCACCGTCTACGAAACAGTCTGGGTTACGAATTCACCGCGTCTACGAACTGGTTCAGTTTACGAAATCACCGTATCCCCACTGTATCGGCCGGATTTATGCTGTTTAGGACGAACACTGTTGTAAGTATCGTAGCCACATAGGTAATCGGAAAAGTCTTTTGCGTCACGAACGAAAGATTCACATAATCCGATAATCTCAAATCGTTCACATAGTTGCTTGAGATCAGAATAACTCGAACTTACATGTTTATATAGTCCTTCGACGTTCCAGCTGAGAATGTTGCAATTGTACAGGCCCTGGCCGGAACATCACATGTTTTCATTGAGACTAAGGCTTAGAGTGCTCTCCCTTGGCTGTGATGTAAACAAACTTGTTGGATCAGCTGATCGAGGATGCGGATTGTCCTGTTTGGAGAGGTCACTCACACATACAACTTTGTCATTATTACGGTCATACATGTATGTTTTCCCATCAACTAGTAGTTTGTTTTGGCGTATCCTTGGTGTTTTCCCCTGCAGAATGTTCATAGGAAATAGCCTCATTATATGATGAACACACTCCCAAGGCTAACTAGCCGAGAGCCGCGGTGCATAGGATTAGGACCGCATCGGCTAAAGGCTAACGTATCATCCAGAAGGTGCTTAGATCCAATTTGTCGGTGAATATACAGGCCTAAACCAAGTTGTATCATAGAAAGAAATTATATTTCTCTTGTTGCTGAGAGTATTTGGTGACAAATAACATATGCCTTTCATTGCTTTGTAGCAACGTCACCCTTTTTATCTTTGTAATCCTTTCGACCAAAACACGGAGTATTAGACACATTCATCATGTGATTATGAAAAGCATCATCAGCAGGAGTGTAATGGTCAGTATCACAAAGCATTGACCTGATGTCCTCCCGTATCTGCAGCTGTTTTCACTATGCTCAACCATTCTTCTTCAGGGTTCCCCAACTTCTGAGAATACCATGCATCTTGTGGCCTGTATTTCTAATGCAAAATAACGGTTTCCTTCCACGAATGCCAGAAATGATAACACCATCACCAAGGTGATCTAGCAATTTTGATCTCAGGATTTTTTTCACTACATTCAATCTCACCATCAGCATGAAATTCTCTCAGTTGGTCACGAGATCCTCTGTTTAATACTGACATTCATCATTTTGTTCCAGAAATTCAAACAAATCATCAAAAGCTCTGCTAAGTTTTTCATCTGCAGGTCTACCCTTCCCTTTGATAGAACGTGGTCTGTTAAAGAATTTCTTATAACATGTATGGTGATACAATCAAATCAAATTGGTCCATCGAACTAGAAACTTTGTAAAACTGTAACTGCATTTGCTTCAGTGAATGGCCTCCAGAGGCCTTCTCAAATCACTTGGCAGAGAAAGGTTTGTGGCAAGATATGTATTCCATGCATTCCAACCAAGTAAGCTACACAGAATGGAAGCTGTTCAACTTAATTGCTAAATGTTCGTGTTAAAATATTCGCTGACAAAAAGTCAAACACTTGATAAAAGCTATGCATCTTAGGACCCCTTAAGTGGAAGATGATACTTGATGAGCAATTATGGAAGAAAAGAGCAAGTGGTAGTTAACCGCCTCAGGGAATTGTTTAAGCCATTCGTGGATTTTTGCGAAATAATTGTTGGTGATGTATCAGTGCTTTTATAATTGTTGCAATTTTCAGTGGAAATGAAATTATAAGTATAGATATTATATTAAAACGTTCAGATAATGTTCAGCTTGCCATGAATGTATTAAAATCGTTTACTTATCAGTAACTTTGATGAATATTATTGTGATAAGACTCATGCATACTGGTTATTACAAAGCGAGTGGATGGGGTTGGGGGCAACACAGTTTTCTGACTGGTATGCAGATCAATGAAATTTCGCGTCTTGCCAGTTTCAGTTTAAAGTTTACATGAAATGTTTTTATTCATATGTCTTCCAACTATTTGGTACCATTGGATAGATAAATTATAGGGCAATCAATCATTCATGTCTGCATAAGACCAATTAAACTTCACATGAAAAGGTTTCAGGCCAAAATTCAGACCCAGGGTCACAATTTCCTAGAAATCTAATTTTAGAACAAAACGGGATGTGCACGTGAGGCAAATACTTATTTTCTACTTTTTAAAGTACGTACACTACAGTCCATTATATCTGTCAAATTGGATGAGATTATATTTACAAATAAAGATTTTATGAGCATTTCTGTTTATAAAATAGGATTTTCTTAGAACAAAGATTATTGTAGGGTAAGCATTTTTGCACGTGCACTGTGGATTTAGCTCAAGTGGGATTTTAGGGGACTTTTTGTATGTTATGCAGGAAGGTCCATAAAATATATATGCCAAGTTTCGTTTCTTCATCATTGTTTTTCGACCTTGGCCCAAAAATGGCTAATTTGACTGGCCTATGGGTGAAGTCGCGCAAACAGTGGAAACCGTGGACGGTTTTCGTTTGCATCAAATCAACTAAATCAAACAATATCTCGAAAACGAGCGGGATACACGAATCGGATTGCACAAAAAATACTACAGTGTCGTCAATGCTATTGATAACGTGGACACAGTGCTGGTAGCCGCCGGCATAGGGCTCGGTGGGTCCGGGGTCGACTTATTGCCCATGATCAACGCGACCGCGATCTTGCTTGGCATAGAAATAGCAGCGGGAGCCTCGGGATTGGCGGGAATTGCGCTAAAATGTGTTTCACGTCAATTGAAAAGAAAAGCATTAAAACACAACACTATTCGCGGTCTGGCTGAATGAAATTGAATACGACTGAGGATCATATCTCGATAGCGATCTCCGATAGTAAGATATCCTCCACCCCTATGGATATGTAACAACTTGACTGGTGCTGGTTTCATGTTCAAACATAAAGTTTGAATTGGTTTTTGTCTGCAGAAGTTCAAATGGAAAGAGCACCGTCATCAACGCCATGTTGCGAGACAAGATTATGCCGAGCGGGATTTGCCACACCACTCACTGCTTCATCCAGGTGGAAGGTCGGGACTCCACAGGAGCCTTTCTTCTCACTGAGGGGTCCGACCAACCCAAGAACATCAAGGTAACACATTTTACAATTCTCAGCATGTGGGCCGTAGGGAATACCATTGTTACATACGAGGAAGAATTGTTAACAGATGTATTCCTAAAATGTTTTTGTCACTTTGGTTTGTAAATTGCAGGCGTTTATCGATAACAAGGACAACTTGTACATGAACAGAACTGTGTTTCTACAGAATAACTTAGGTTGTATACTCCTCAGGAAATGAATGCAAGAAGGAATTGATGCAGAGTAATCTTAAGCAGCTGGAGCTTATGTTGTCACCGTATATGTAATTTGTTCTGTACAAAGACTCAGTGATTCATCCTCCTCATGACACATTACCTGTGGGGGGTTCCAGGCCGTTTCACCCAAAGTCGTTTCACCCGGGTCGTTTCATCTAGATTCCGACTAGGTCAATTCATCCCACATTAGGGGTCATTTCACCCCTAATCAAGAGTTGTTTCACCCAATTAATTGAGTTTACATGGAGAATGGTATTCATGCTTATATGTTAGTCCTAATTAGGCAATGTTTTTACAACAAACAGGTAAATGCTACTGTCCCTGTGTTGAGATAGCACATCAGACTTATATCTCATCTCATCTCATCTCATCACGCTTAAAACTTGAATGAACATTTAAATAAGTCGACATTGAGTTAGACATTACACTTGCCTTTGTGTCATGGCGACTGCATGTTTGGAGATCTGCCTGAGCTGAGATGGACTGCAGTTTGAAACTTGTCATTGCCATCAACACAGAATATGTGGCACAGGTAATACTTAGTCGTAACAACTGTTTGATAAGAATGTTGCATGCATGTTAGTAATCCAACACAGCCAATATGAACTGATATAACAAGCAGTTGTCACTGAGGTGACATAATCCCCCGCCGCAAATTATCACATCAAACTTAGAGAGTAATGAAAGTGAAGGTCGTAGGTTAAGATGAAGTTAAATGTCAACAAAAACATGACCAGTCAACCTCTCTTGATATCTTGCTCTGCTCTGTAGCCGTGTTCAAACACACAATTATATTCAATACTGACTTTGACCTAGTCATGAATGTCATGGTTTATGAAATATGCAAAAATGGTAAAAGAGAAATTGCTAATTAAAAAACATTCAAGAGAAGTCTTGAAAGTCTACAAAGAAGAAAATCCAGTGAACCGTTCTTGAGATAGCTAGCTGACAATCTTAACATACTGAAATCTTCAAAGTGTCGCTGTGACCTTGAAATATGTGCGAAGGTCATGAAGCCTGGTGTCAAATATGATGAAAATCCAGTGAACGGTTCTTGAGATATCTCGCTGACAAGCTTAACATGCAGGCTAACATGCTGAAATCTCCAAAGTGTCGTCGTGACCTTAAACATTATAGGAAGGTCACCAAAATTGACTGGACCCTGCGCCTTCCCTGTATGAATTTTAGTGTCCAACATGAAGAATATCCAGTGAACTGTTCTTGAGATATCTTGCTGACAAGAGTTAGACGTTAAAGTCCCCTTGTGACCTTGAAATGAAGGTCAAGGTCACCAAACCTGCCTGGGACCTTTCAGATGATGTGATGAACCTAGGTACCAAGAATGAAAAGAATCCAGGCAATGGTTCTTAAGATATTCCAATTTGTACAAACGGACGGACAGAGCCTAATACTATACTAGCCACATAATGAAACTGTGCGCACAGAAAATAACTTCAGAATTGGAATACAACACAGCAAAGACGAAATGATGTAGGCAGTTTATAAGCTGAAGTACTGGACCTCAAGATAATGTCAAAAGAACATGAACAATATCTGTAACATGACGTCAGAAGTTAAAAATCGAGTAGGGGGTCACGAAGTCAAAAGTCAATAACGGGTATGACCACCGTGTGCGTGGAGCACAGCAGTGCATCGACGACGCATAGATGCTATACCAATTGAGCATTGAAGGCCTGGGGAATGGTCTGGGACATGGTCACTGCTGTCTAGAACCTGTGTCTGAGATGAGTCACCCGAATCCATCTGTTCTGTCTTGGTGTCGTTACATTGGGAACGCCCAGAACGTGGGTGGTCGGCAATGTCATTACTGTTTTGATAACGCCTGACCAATGCAGATACCGTGTTACGATGGCATTGGAAATGTGCTGCCATCTGTTGTTGGCTCATTCCTGCTCCATTCCAATGGCTTCATGACGTTGAACAGATGTTAATCTTGGCATGATGTGCATGTGACTTCTCATGTGAATTTGTGAACGTTTGAATGACCAAAGATCAAGCTTTCGACAGTGACAGCAATTTCAGAGTTTCACATGCTGTGTGCAGCTGCACAGGCTGCACGTGCAGTAACACATTGCAAGGTCATAGGCCACCGTCAATGACGTCACGTCGCCTGGTACGTGCATGAGCGTTTAATTGTCTCCAATACTTGCTATGTTCACAAATGTGTTTATGTATGAAGACACTGTGTGCCTATGTTTATATTTTCTGTGTGCACAGTTTCTTTATGTGGCCAGTATATATCCCCGCGCGGCGGGGTATAATTATTCAAACAATCTGAATATGCTGTTTTGACACTATACATAGATTAATAAAATATTGAAACCCCCGGCCCCCATAAATTTGAAAGAACAAATCAGCTGACAGTTACTTTAAGTCCAACTTGAAGTTTTTGGACTAAGTCCAAATCGTTTCCACGGAAATCATGAAAAATAAAAATTCCAAAAACCTGCAAATAGCAAAAAGCAATACTTCAAGATCTGTTTGATATATCTGTCAAGTCTTGTAGAAAGATATTGAACGGTTTTCGAGTTGTGATCCGGAAACGAAACCCACCCCTCCCTTTTGAGACTAAGTCCAAATCGTTTCCATGGATAACCAAGAAAATTAAAAATGACAAAAACTTACATATAGCAAAAGGCTTCACTTTAAGTTATGTTTGATATATCTACCAAGTCTTGCAGAAAGATATTGAATGGTTTCGGAGTCGGGAAACGAAGCTCACCCCTCTCTTTTGAGACTGTGAGAAACATTTCCATGGAAACCAATAAAAATACAAATGCCCCAAATCTGCAAATAGCAAAAGGCACCACCTTGAGATCAGCCTCACATATCTGCCAAGTTCTGTTGAAAGATATTGAACGGTTTTTGAGTTGTGCTCCGGAAACGAAGCCCATCCCTCTCTTTTGAGACTAAGTCCAAAACGTTTCCATGGAAACCAAGAAAATTAAAAATGCCAAAAATCTGCAAATAGCAAAAGGCACCACTTTTGGATCTGCCTCACATATCTGCCAAGTTTCGCTGAAAGATATTAAGAAGTTTTCGAGTTGTGTATACGGGAGTGATGACTTCATCACAATCTCAAAACAATCAACCCTGGTGATGATCCACCTTCGTCAAGAAGAACTTCGCCAGTGCTGATTGGTCATTATATGAGGCTCTGTGTGTTGAACACTTAAAACATGACGTATTTGCGAACAGCGAAGATCCTATACAATTGTTTTCCGATATTCTCAAAGGCATTGCTGAACAAACGATACCCAAATCCTCTGCAAATCCACATATTCGTAAACCATGGTCTAATAATGACTGTAAACAGGCCAGAAAGTACAGGAAGAAAGCGGAAAAATATTTTCGCAAACATCCTACTGTCCATAATTTAGATAAAGTTAAAAATTTTAATGCCAAGGCACTTTTAAACAGAATAAGCCTTAGTCTTGGAGGAACTATGTTTCCAAAATTAATTCCTGTACACCTATGTCAAAGGTGTGGAATATGATACAAAGAATTAAGGGCAAAGGTTCCAAATCTACTGTTCACCATCTGAAGGATCGTGATAATTTATTAACTGATAAGTCTGATATTACCAATAAGATTGGTGAAACTCTTGCCAAACATTCTTCTTCGTCAAATTACATCCCAGAATTTCAACAATACCAGAAACAACAGGAGAAGAAGAGAATAAATTTTAACTCAGACAATGGCGAAGACTATAAAGCACTATTTTCATTACATGAGCTACCCACTACCCTTGAGCAAACTCATGATACAGCAACAGGAGCTGATAAAATACACTATCAGCTCTTGAAGCATTTACCAGAATCATGTTTGGAAACACTTCTACATATTTTTTATACAATATGGACTTCAGGGAATTTCCCAACTTCATGGCTCAATGCCATTGTAGTCCCCATTCCAAAACCTGTCCGGGATCATACTGATCCGTCTAATTATAGACCAATCTCTTTAACAAGTTGTGTCTGTAAAACCATGGAACGAATGGTTAACAATAGATTTACTTGGTGTCTTGAAACCAACAACCTTATAACAACATTCAATGTGGTTTCAGGAATTATCGCAGTACCACTGATCATCTGGTACGTTTGGAATCCTTTGTTAAAGTGCAATAGTAAATAAACAACATGCAGTATCGATATTCTTTGATCTCGAGAAAGCATACAATGCCACCTGGAAGCATGGTATTTAAAGGATTTACATGATTTTGGTTTAAGGGGTCGTTTACCTATTTTCATATCACAGTTTTTAACAGACAGGCAATTTCAAGTCCGATTGGGTTCAACCCTGTCTGACCATTATAATCAGAATCAGGGTGTCCCACAATGCAGTAATTTGTCTGTAACATTATTTAGCATAAAGATCAACAGTTTATCCAATGTATTAAACGAGTCAATTGGTGGATTACTTTTTGTGGATGATTTTAATATTTCATGTTGTGGCTAAAATATGCATACTATTAAACGGCAAATGCAGTTGTGGTTAAACAAGATAAAAAAATAGTGTCTTTTGAAAACGCCTTTAAATTTTCCAAATCCAAAACTAATTGTGTACATTTTTGTAGAAAATATAAACCGCATAAAGACCCTGAACTGTTTCTAAATGGCACTCCCATCAAAGTTGTCAAGGAGACCAAGTTCTTGGTTTTAATTTTTGACTCCCATTTAACGCATATTAAATACCTGTTTCCAATTCGAAGTGGGGAGGGGATCAAGCTGCCCTCCTGCACCTATACCGATCATTAGTCTGTTCCAAACCTGATTATGGCTCCATTGCAAATGGTGGAGCTTGTAAGAGCAACCTCAAAATATTAGATTCTATTCATCACCAAGGTCTAAGACTTTGTCTTGGATCCTTTAGAACTTTTCCTGTTGACAGTTTCTACGTTGAGGCCGATGAGCCATCTCTTTACCATTGCCGTATAAGATTATCCTTACAGGATGTTACAAAACTATATTCATATAAGTCAAATCCTGCATTTAATTGTTTTTTCAATCCTTTTTATGAGGACCTGTACAACAAAAAGTCTTCTCTTGTTCCACCTCTTGGATTACGAGTCAAGACTTTCATTTCTGCTGCGGCATTGAGCTTGAAAATATATCTCCTTCCCGCCTTCTTTCTTCTCCTTGGCAATTGGTGAGGCCACAGGTTGACCTAACACTGACAGCATTTAAAAAATCTGAAACTAATTAATTACAATATAGACAAGAATATAATCAATTCAAAACTAAATATAATACATACAAATCGTTATTTACAGATGGGTCCAAGGACGGTGGCGCAGTTGCTTGTGCCACTGTCACTGGATCCAAAACAATATCTTCTCGATTACCAAATAACAGCTCTATTTTCACAGCAGAAACTCACGCCATATTAACAACTCTTAGGTATATTAATAAACACCGTAAATATAAACAATACATAATCTTTTCCAATTCTCTTTCGTGCCTTCAGGCCATTAAAAACCTTTCTTGTAAACATCCACTTGTCATAGAAATTATTGAATTGTATAATGATCTTGCTACTGGCCAATGCAACATCGTCTTTTGTTGGTTACCCAGCCATGTTGGCATTTCTGGGAACACAATGGCCGATCTTGCTCCTAAGGCAGCACTCAACAAATCTGTGACACCACTTCTTATTCCATACTCTGATTACAAAGCTAGCATTAGAACCTACTTCCGGGATATGATGCAGAAGAAGTGGGACACCCAAGTTGGTATCAACAAATTACATGAAATAAAAACTCTATATTGGTTACACCTACTTTGGTTGTCAGTCCTGATTAGAAGAGGTCGGTTAAAGTTCGGCTAAATTTTTCCTACAATCGCCAGCGGCTGTGGGGATGGTGTAAATCCAACTATAGTTTGGCATGAAATGCATGTGGACCCAGTTTTTTGTAAATATCTCTTCATCCAATGACCCAATCGATCTCAAACTGTACAAGTGGATGTTTTGTCAGGCAACCTATTCACATTGTAAATCACCGATTGTATGCATTTGCATTAAAGAATCTGTCTATGTAACTGTCAACAAAATAAACAGCAGAACGCAGAAGGCTTGCAGAGGGAGGGAGCCAATGACCTGTAACAGCGGGAGTGTTGGGTCACAAAGGTAAATGCACGTGCAGTTCATGATAGTTACCTGTGCACTGCACAGTGATAGACCATTTGGATCATTCACATTGACTACTTCTAGCTGTCATCATGAAGGCTTATTCAGATGATGCTAAACGTTTAATTAGAAATGTGTTTAATTTTTTTTTAAAAGAGAGCAAACGCAGCAAACCGATTTATAACGTGTGGGATTAAATGAAACGTACAACTTTTGCTCTTGGCATGAAAGAGAACATCATGCTAACAATTGTGAAAAATAAAACAACAACCAATAAACAAAACCTTGTACAAAAAGGTAGTCATCCAAAGTTAGATTCTTTTGACATCAGGGTCATCAGCATAGCTGACCTACATTGACGAACGTTGACCTTTATGACCCAACACTGCCGCTGTTACAGGTCATTGGCTCCCTCCCTCTGCAAGCCTTCTGCGTTCTGCTGTTTATTTTGTTGACAGTTACATAGACAGATTCTTTAATACAAATGCATAAAATCGGTGATTTACAATGTGATTAGGTTGTCTGACAAAACATCCACTTGCACAGTTTGAGATCGACTGGGTCATTGGATGAAGAGATATTTACAAAAAAACGGGTCCACATGCATTTCATGCCAAACTATAGGGTCCATGCAGGTAGCAGAGGTACTGTAAGTCCCCATAGTCCCTAGTATGGTGATCTATCTTCGGTTGTTGGCAATCTATAGCCCATTTTTATACTGTCTTGTCCTAATTCGAAGTCCAATTTTAGAGAGATATGCTAGTTATATTCTTAATACTGTGATTTTCTAGTTGGTTTTACTGTCCTTCGTTGACATGTATTTATGTTCAATTTGAACTTGTTGTAGTCATGATATGGCTGAAATATTGCCGATGTGACTGTAAATTTTAACTCATTCACTCACCATATTAGGGACTGTGGGGACTTACATTACTTTTGCTACCTGCATGGACTCGAGCTGGAATTACATCATTCCTTCAGCTATCAGCAATTTTTGACAATCAAGCAATGAAATAAATGAACATGAATACTATGATTAAAAATAATAGTAGGTTTAAATCTACCTTAAATGCTTTGGAAATCACTTACCCTCTCAGGAGGACAATACTGTTACAATACTTCAACCCCCTTTGAGTGAGTGAGTGAGTTAAAATTTCAAGTCACTTTGGCAATATTTCAGCCATATCGTGACTAAATCAAGTTATAGTTTAATAATAATTAAAGGTACATGTACATTATAAAAAAACTGTCAACGAAGGACAGTAAAACAACTAGATTATCACAGTTGTATATGTAAAAAATTGTAATTAAATCTAAAACATTTTAACTATAGAGGACAATACAATTTAAAAACAGGCTATAGATTGCCGACACCTGAAGGTAGATCACCATACTAGGGACCAAGGGGCATACAATACTTTGCTTCCTGCATGGACCCTAGCTGGATTTACACCATCCCTTCAGATATTAGCAATTTTGGACAATCTAGCCTAGATTAAAATAACACATATGCTGCGGTTAAATTGATAGTAAGTATAAATTTACTATAATTGTTTTGAGACTTACGTATCCTCTCAGGAGGACAATAATTTTACAGTACTTTAACCCCCTTTGAGCCACTAAAAGTCTCAGTTACCAATCTAAAATATTTATCTGTTCACAAACCATTTATAAAAATTATCTAGTAATTCTATTTCTTGCAAAAATTCGATGATAATTGATAATTTACATTAAAAAGATCCTTAACTGTTTTGACATTGAAATATTTATCCCTTGTGATGGAATGAGTGAGTGAGTGAGTTAATATTTCACGTAACATCAGCAATATCTCAGCCATATCGTGACGAAGCATTTATGCAATAAAAATGAAAACATTTTGAAGCGTAAAATCTGTCGACGAAGGACAGTTAAAATCCTAGAGTATCACAGATATGAATATAAAACTAGAATGTAAATCTAAAACATTTTAATTGAAGAAGTCAATGCAATATAAAACACGGGCTATAGCTCGCCAACAACTGAAGGTAGATCACTATGGTCCATGGGGTTGTGGTGGAATGCTTGATGTGGAAGGAAGGCCCGAGGTGATACAGGTTATCAATGTTGTAAAACCTAAGAGTACAGGCATGGTGCTGGCAAACCTAGAGACATTCAGAGAGAACCAGGATTCAAAGCAATGATCATAGTATCCTGGCATGCCCAAGGGAGGCAACTATGCTCAGCAAAATTAACGCCTGAGTAGGACCAATGCATGTTATATTTTTATGGGAGGAAGCTCCAAGGGTTACTGGTCATATAGATCAACCTCTTAGGATATCAAGAAACATTAGTGTAGATATTGTGCTGATAGACCTTGACCTTGTGTGAATCTCAGATTGGAATACCGGAATAGAAATCATCGGGTTCCGTCACGTGAACAGACGCGAATCTACACAATGAACTGTATTGTTCCACAAAATGACTGGACCACTTATTTGATGAATATCAGTTATCGTTACCATAGTTACAGAGAAAAAAATATATTGTGCCCTTGTATACATAAGAAGGCTGTGCTATTTGTTTTGTTTTTTGTCATGTTTACGTAGGCGTATATTTGCCTTTTTGTGCCAGGCTAATATCGGTTTGATTCCTTCCAGTTAATCGAACAGTTGGTCCACAACCTGAGTGATCAGAGACTCGAGTCTAACTCTTTAATTCGGATCCTGTGGCCAAAGGATAAGTGTCGTCTGTTGAGAAAGGATGTGGTGTTTGTTGAAAGGTAAGTAACAAAAAACCAGTAAGAATTTAACGTACTCCACGCTAGTCATAAGAATATAGCGGATTGGATGATCATTCTGTTACAGCTGGTTAAATCGCCAAGTAATGTCAATGGAGCACATGACTCGCTGTAGGGGTGAGATGCAGTTTATTCAGATATTTTCCTTAATCATACATCAAGCCCCGTTTGTTGAATAGAGCCTTACTGATTAGACCATGTTGTGCTGATACATGAGTTCATATGTTACCTGATTGATGTTGATTATCTACCATTGGACCTTGTTGCCTTGTTGCCTTGTTGCCTGAGTGCTGTGCTGTGCTAAAGTGTTATTACAGGGGTGCTCAGATTGGTGCATGGGAATTATGGGAATTTGAAATTAGCCAGTAAAGAGCTAGGAATTAGGGTCATGTGATAAACAATAATCCAAAATGAGACCATACTCTTGATCCAGCATATTTTGTGAATCCTAAACATAATAAGAACGTTTCAGATGAATGAAATTCATCTGAAATACTTGACAAATACAACCAAATATCAATATGATTGACATATGCTTAAAACCACAAACTTTAGAATACTACCACCCAACCTTCAATATTTTTAGTGACCGTTTTATGACTTATATAATATTTTTATTCTTATTTGACTTGTAAACAATAAACACTATAACACCATTTCATATTCAATAATTGTAAAACAGTTCTATACAAACAAACCAAACTGACTTATTAAAAACATGAAAAATGTCACTGCTACAATTCCATGTGTATTGGCTGATTGTGTATTGTCATATTCTCATGACATGAGAGTGAGTGAGTAGATATTGCTTAAGGACGAATCAGCAATGTTGCAGCTATTGTAAAGAAATGTCAGTACACGCTCTATGTTAAAAATCATAAGGAAAATTCTCAGTCATTTATCACATTCAAGGGCAAAAACTAACTTTGAGATAAAAATCTATATTTTATCAAACTATTTGATTACTTTTAAATATCCTAAAATCAGATGGTCAGAGACTGTTGTAAAAAGTTCAGATAAAGTATGAACATAAAAATCATAAAAACGTTGTCTGATAAGCGCAAAATCAACAGTTACTCAAAATGTGCGTGATTGTAATTCGAAAAATGAGAATCGTCACCTTTAGGTAAAAACGAATACTACCGAACGTGTGTAAAACTATACTCACTATATGTTATGTATGTATACTCTCCCAAAAAAGAAACGCATATAGGAATTTCAACTGTATTTTTATGTTTATTTGGAAACATCTTGTAGGCTTTATGAGTCAATGAAATATAGCGAAATTGCACACTGGGAATGCAGACTTATCCGTCTTTGGCACTAACTCGAGGAAAGTGAGTCTGAGTGTCACATGGAGACGTGTGGTGGCGCTGAAGTCAATTCCTCGTGTGACCGCCGTGGGCATCCAGAACTGCACGGCATCGCCTCGGCATCGAACGAATAAGTCTCAGAATCTCATTTTGTCCTGTCGCAGCCCACTGTGCCTGTAGTGCCTGTGCGTGTTGCAGAAGTGTCTGGGGGCTGAGGGTTACGGCGTTGCACCTGTCTGTCCAGGGCATCCCACAGATGTTTGATCGGGTTTAAGTCCTGTGATCTTGAGGGCCAGGGGAGCACATTGATGTTGTGGTTCTGGAGGAAGTCTCTAGTGTGACGTGCTGTGTGGGGCCTGGCATTGTCCTGTTGAAACAACTCCCTCTGGCGATCAATCATTGGAAGGAGGTGTGGGCGTAGGATTTCGTCAAAAACCGTTGAGCTGTCAGGTTGCCCTGGATCACCCCCAAATCATTTCTCCTACGGCAGGTGATCGCTCCCCACATCATAACACTTTCCCGGCCGAATATGTTCACCTAGGGAACGCACGTGTCGGCGAAACGTTCACGTCGACGTCTGTACACCCGCATTCTTCCATTGCGTCGTTCCAATAGAAATCGTGATTCATCACTGAACCAGATTCTACGCCAATTTGGTAGGTTCCAGGCCTGAACGTTGGTGCACCATTGAACTCGATGTCGAAGATGTTGTTGTCGAAGCACAGTGCCAAAATAAGGTCTTCTGGCACGTAAACCAGCCTCTCTCAACCTGTTCCTGGCAGTCTGTGCAGAAAGCCTCCTCAATCCGGGTATTTGTCGAGCGGTACTGGTCGCCGTAGCTGTTCGATGACGCAGGTGATGTACCCGGATGTAGCGATCCTGCGCCGCAGTGGTTGTTCGAGGTTGCCCACTATGAGGGGTATCTGCTACCGAATTCCGCCGGCGATATCTCCCCCAGAGCCATGAAATGGTGCTTTGGTGAACATTCATGCGTCGGGCAAATGCACGTTGAGACTCGCCAGCTTCAAGGAAACCAATGGCGATATCACGGTTGGCTTCACTTAGATGTGGCATCAACAATATTCCAAATACAGTGAATAATCGACAGACAGCGATCAACCTTGTATACCCATCATTGAGACTATCTGATCCCCAACTTTTACGTGCTTTGCATGTGAATTGTGTATTCTGTGACACTACCCGCCGAAAATGAAAATCATGCTGTTAATTACGGGTATTTTACGGATGGTGCGTTTTGTTGTGATGTTTCAAAACATAAACACCATAGGACTCATAAACAGAGCAAAACCTTTTGTAAAATGAATCGACTTTTAATTCATTGCTACATGAAATTGCAATTTTCATGATGCGTTTCATTTTTGGGAGAGTATATATATGGTTACATCGAAGATGAAGTTCTCCACTAACTTTGGTGGAACCAACTGCAAACCTTTAGCAGATGAATTGTACAAGGACCATGCATCAAAATGATGTAAAGCATGTGCAAATATTGTGCATGTGAATAATATATTCAACGTTACAAATTTGTTTTACAATACATCAGTTCATGTGTAAACAATACCATTAAACAGTATGGAATATTTTGCAAAATCTAGTTTAGAACAGTTGACCGAAGCACGTGGCTACATTCACACTAGTGAGACTAAACTTTTGATGGGTAGTATATGTCCAATGCGGCAAACGCTCTGAGACAACTGCATCATGGCGATATAGACCAGAAGGGGGTAGACCTCCAATCAGTGGTTTGTGGGTGTGGAGCTTATTCGAGACTTTGGTAACCCAGCTTTTTTGCCAATGATCATTCACACATTTTGAATAGAGGATCGGAGATCGGAATACGGGAAGCTTGTGCTTGTAGTAGACTTACTGAGAGCAGATTTTGTCGAGGCATTGACTTTACAGTTGCCACTGATGCCAACATGGCTGGGCAGCAAACAAAATATTATACTTTTTTCATCCAAGGATAGATTGAGGTGATAATTTAAAATGTCAGCCAAGAATGGACGATCCTGTTTCAATTTTTGATTGCTTGTAAGCATGACAGACTATCAGACCATATTAGAAAGTTGCCCCTGGAAGATTTTTTAATGTACATGTATTGTATAGCTAATAATATGGCCTGAGCTTCTAAAATTGAGCTGTCATCGGTTCGTCGCAACGACATAGTACAATTGCATATAATGGCTGCAGCTGATACCTTCTCCCATCTTTTTTATCCATCTGTGTAATCATATGCTTGTTCTGTTATTTGTCTATATTTGATAAGCACTTGCTTCTTATCTGAGTGAAAACTGGTAACCCCAGGATAACTTCTGTTTAATTCCAAGGTGAATTTTCACTTTGTGAGATGACTCATAATGCCACTTCATGTCATGATTTTCATTAAAAAAATAAATAAACAAAATGAAAATATGTTTTGCAGATATATTCTTGCTTTTTGGCAGACTTTTAAACTCTGAAGTAAAGATTATATCTCCTTGTTGAATAAATTAATTTCAAAAAGTTCATTAACTATTATAGATAAAATGATGAAAATATCGAATATATTAACACATGATAATAATTTTCTGGAAGTATGGTAATTTGGACAAATAGATATTAAAAAATCTCTGTAAATATTTTAAATCTATTCGAATATGAGTTCACTCTATTTTTCTGGACACAAGATATTAATTTGAATTATAACTATGATGTTTCCTTCTAGATCCACCAAGTCCATCAAAAGCTGAATTTCACCACTTTCAAGTTTTACTTTGATTTCTAGCCTTTCCATTATCTTGCAAACAAGATTGTAGGTGCCTTTAAATAAGTGTTTTCATGCAGTGAATCATGGGTAATATTTAGGGTCATGCCCAACCACTCTCGTACCCAGAGTTCCATGTGCCTAACTAAGTTATCGCTACACCGGAGTGTGATGCCCAACTTAATGAAGGTTTTTCTATCTCGACTACTGAAGAGCTCGCTATCCTAGCTAGGATCGGTAGCTCAAGTTAGGACAGGGATAGGATCATTTCGAGAATGGGTCTTATCCTAACAGTAGGATTTCCTAACTTCTGTCTTAACTATAGTCCGTTTGGCTGAAAATGAATTGCAATCTAACTGGAAAATTAATAAACATATAATGGTCAAAGAAACGCTTATCACAATCAAAACATCAGACCAACTCTGTGAGGGTTTTTTAGAATTTGTGTTCTAAAAATAAAAAAAGGGAAGGAGTGCAAAGAGAGAAACAGCCATGTGTACACGAGTCACGTGCACAAGTGCCAACAAAGTTATTGATTCGTTTACCTGTGCTGTGCCGTCGCCATCATTTCTCACACACCTGGCTGTTCCCCTCTTTGCACTCCTCCCTCGTAACGAATATTGAACTGTGTAAATATTTTAATAATAATTGGTCAAACAACTTTTTTATTTTTAGAAAATAAATTCTGCAAAAAAATCACAGAGTTTGTCCGATGTTTTGACTATGATCAGCGTTTCATTGAGCATTATATATTTATTAGTTTTCGAGTCACATTGCAATTCATCGGTCGGATTTTGAGCCAAATAGACTATAGTTAGGATCTGTCTTAGCTGGGCCACTTTCAAGAATAGGCACCCTGGTTGTTTTGACTGTCATGGTAGCATTGTTGATATTTCCCAGACGGC